AAAGGGGACCCTGATTCAGAGAACTACCCATGTAGTGATACTGCGTCCCTTCCCCTCAGGCTCCAACCTGTCAACTTAGAGCCGAGCCTTTCGTAAAATTCCCGGCCTTACAACCCTTCAACCCAACACACCCTGAACCGTAGACCTCGAAATCCCGAATCTGACCGAGCCCTATAGACTCGACCCGCATCCTAGGCCTTTTCTGACCGCTCCATCACATGCCGTTAGCCGCCGAAACTTGGACATCCGCAAATAGAGTTTGATCCAACGCGAGGACACCGAGGAGTTTCGGGTTACGCTGCTGATCGGCATCCACTTTGCACAGGCGCTGCATCAGACGTGAAACGGCTACAAGGCGTGCATGCAGATAATTCCAGATAGTCACTTTACTGAAGTTCGTTGCAACGGCAACGATCGGCATCGACTGGTGATATCGAGCATAGGCAAGTCTCGAACTTACTACCATGTTGTGTGGAGTTAGTGGGGGTTTTGACGATCTCGAGCAGTGTGTTTCAGAACCAGCCTCGGCGTAGGCCCAAGGATGTCATTGCATTCAAAGCTTGAGTGCGATCTTCCTCCTTCCTGCGATTCGGCCGCGTGCCCGATCAGGACAGCAGAAGAAAAGGTGTCCTCGCTAAGCCCGAGTTCGGAAAGCTAGTAGTTAGCAACCCCTACACGCTGTAGTCCGTAAGGTTGCGAGGCTTCCAAGGCCGCGGCCGATATGGTTGGTGTATATACAACTACCTATTATTGGGCTCTTGTCGCATAGCTTCTGGGTCATCAACAAGACTGGAGCTACAGACAAACGCAGAGTAGAGCTTTCTGAGATGTGTTGGCCTCGTTGTTTCCGCTATCTTTCTAAGACTATGTTCAAGACTATGTGCCTGTACGTCAGAGGAACTGTTTTCATCCATGACGTTTGCGATCATTGCAAGTGTACATTCCCTCTTGTTCCGTTGAGGGAAAGTAGAAAGGTGTGCTCCTTTGTTCTGCGTATGCTGTCATGCGAAGTCCAAGTTCTTGGGTGCGTTGCCCCTCGAGGCCTGAGCACCATTCTACTCACCCTTCAAGCGGCTTAACACATAGCTAATCCCTAAGCCTCATACCTCCTTGATGTTTAGCCCCCAGCAGTAGTTGTGTTCGCTCTCCTTGCAGCTCAAGCTTTGTCATGTAGTTGCTTGCCCCGAGCGTGGCTATGGCAGCCATGAAGCGTGGGCGGCGCAGCAGAGCGACGTGCCAGGCCCGGAGACTCTCGAGAGTGGGAATTACAGCAACCAGGGCTCAGAGGGCCAACTCGCCAGGACCCTCCAAGTACCCTCAAATAGGGGTATATGGTCCCAAATCAAAAGTTATTTAGGGTCTAATAGAGGGTAGATGGAGGGTCTAGGTAAGTGAACTTAGTGACATGAGGTGATGTGGGCTGAGCGTAGCATGCAACCAAGGATGGCATCTTCAGGGTGAAAGGCTGGTAGTCTCATACGATGCTATCGTCTTGAGGTGAGAACCTTACCGTAGCTCTCGAAAGTGTCCAGTTGCGAAATTTCAATCACTCGCCTGCACCCTACATGTTCCAAGCATCCCAAACCTTCCGCTTCGCTCGCCAAGCCCTGGCGACTCGCGACAGGGTTCCAGCAATGCCTAATATAGGGGCCTAAATAATTACCTACATTATTCGCTGGGTTCCTTATTATAATGATAGTGTAATGGGCCCAAAAACCCTAGTCTAATTATTAAGGCCCCTACATTATATCAGGACAGGTCCGAGGTTAAGGATTTCACATCCACGGCTATCGGCTACATTTGGAAGTTAGTTCCTTCCCAAAGAATGTCGACAAGACCCCAGCGAGCCTCGTAGGCCAAGGTGGCCGTCTGACTTTCCCGAATCCTAAGCGCAGAAAGCATAAATTGGCTCATCAATCCGACTGCGGGCGAGTGAGCGTTCGAAGCAGTTTGTCACAGGTCGATGCTTCGGAGCCGCTGAAGCAGGCATGGTTCTTTTTCCGGTGAAGGGTGCGGTTCGGGGTCTAGGGCACAAGGGATATAAGGTTCAGGCCACATCTAGGATGGCTTTCATCTAGTGAAGTTCTTTCAAGTCTTGAAGCGGCAAGCCGCAAGCCTTGACCCCAACCCTGCTCCCATATGCTCCCATGACCCACGATGAAGGATCTCGAAAGTTTTGTCACCCTTACAACGGGATTTCTTGCTGACCCCAAACAGCCTTAGAGGTCCTCCGCGAGAGAGTCTGGAAAATGCCGCGGGTGTTCCTAGGATCCCAAAGACAGGCCCCTGTATCCTGCCCATTGCTGACGCACCAACACGACCTGATGCATGAGGCGTCAGTGTCTGAACCTGAGCAAGAGGAGGCCGTGCGGGGATACTTGCACCCCGAACCCTCAGCCTAGAGATTTGTCGAGTTTATTCCACGGGATTGTGTCAGATTCTACTTGCAGGCTTCACGAATTCCAAAGAATTCGCAAGTAATTGGGGGTGGGGAAGTGTGATCCTAAACCGCAATTATAAGAAGAAGAAGAACCCCCCCTCCCCAATTGAGGTGCATATAACAACCCTCCTTAGGCTCGTGACCCTACTTATCATCATCATTACCCATGGATTTCTGAGTAGCATTAAGTGTAGAATCCTACGCTGGCTATAGGCTATAGGTGTTGTTTTCGGGGGCCGCTTCCGCACGGATCTTCGGCCTTCAGATCAGTTGTTCTGAGCTCATTGATCTCAAGTCTTTTAGCGCAACGGTCGGTGATGGTCGCCCACTGAGAGTTCCGGTCTCTGTAATTGTATTCCTGCATGTCGAAGGCATGTTAATCGAGACCAGGGATAACCAGCCTGCTTCGGGGAGTGAGGCAATCTGAAACAGGGTCATATAAAGTTTTTTAATAATCCTAGTAATAAGAATATCCAGACTAATATGCATCAGAATAGCACAAAAGTGTTGGACCAGTAGTATACTAGTGATATGACCCCTTTCTTTTAACGTTGAGTAAGGGAGACATTGGTCCGTCGGGTCGAACCCCCTGTCTCCTGACTCCTCCCTGCATACCGAACCCCTCTGACTGCACATGACATGTGCTCTTACAGAATCTATACTTAATCACTAATTAATCCCCTGAATTTTGTAAGCCCGCACTTTTTTGGATCCGTCAGTTTTTGAACCTAGTCG